TCTTAATGTTGACTTTTTCACAGTACCTAAATGTTTTTGTTTATCTCTGCCTTGTCTCTCCATTGCCCTAAGCACGTTGTACTCTTTTCCTGTGTGACTTTTGCAAGTCTAATCTGTAGGTATCTTCCTGTTACATATATCCTTTTTATAAATGTAGCTGCCAGACATATTTTGTAGAAATGTTTTCAACTTAGGTAACGTCATTCTCTTATAAAGCCGGTCCGCTCTGCTAAGATCATTGACTTAATCCCAACTCTGATAAAACAGATCCAAGCTGCTCATCTCTAATTAGGTTCACCATCTGTCTGTCTGGGAAAAACAGCATAAACAGTGCTGATATGCACTTTTGTGCTCACTTTATAGAGGAAATTCAAAAATAACTAAATGATTATTAAAAGGGAACTTTTTTAAATTAGCTTACTTGTGGAAGAAGCAACTTTAATGTTCCCACATCAGCCACCACCTAAAGCTGAACTCCAGACAAATAAAAAATTGCACATAACTGCAGAAAAAGGCTTACCATTTGCTGAATTGCATTGTATTTCATTGTGGCTAGTTTTATTCTCTTACAATATGTCTTTTAAAGTAATCTCATCGGTGTTCATGTGCCCTAACTTCCTGTTAAGGAGGCCGGACCCTGTAGCCAGTTCTCTGTGTGCTGGGTGATCGTTCTTCTCAATGCCCCCTACATAAAGTCTTGCAAGTACTGATGTCAGCACTGCTTGAAGAACAAAAAGATGTGCATGTCATTGCCTCTCCCCACCTGGTTACATCAGCCTAGTCTTGCCTGCCAATATACTAATTGAAGAAGGTTTTCTAAACTGAAAAAAAAGAACAATCTCCCTTGTCATTGGTGGGACACACTCTGCAGCATGCTGACAGTTCACTTTCACATCAGTCTGCTTTAGTCACCATTGTATGCCCCGGTGATTACAGAGAATATCACTGCTCCTTCGTCACCCTAACAGCACTACCTAGACTTAGTATCCTTGTAGGCAGGAGCAGGCTAAGTTACTTTATATAGCGATTGTTATGCCATTGCTGTGAGAGAGCGAGAAAAAGCGAGAGAAGAGAGAGAAAGCTAGCTTTATGTTGGCTTAAATCATTTTTTTTTCTTTGTGTCTATTTAAGTAACTCATATTCTCAATGGATTGCTCTCTTTTTAATATACATTGAATACATATTTTGCGTTGTCAAACTTTTATTGTATAAATAAAACTTTTTTTTTAACTGTTGGGTAATGGATGATTTTGTTAGAATTTACTGATCTTGCAAAGATTGAGGACCATAGAGACAGGAAAGCATATCTTGCATGTGCAAATAAACCATTTCACATTAAATGTACACATTTATGTCTCTAAAGAAGGAAGAGACCTACTGGTCCTTTTTTGTGAGAAACAGCTTTGGACTAAAACAAAAATTTGCCAGCTATATGCAGGCCAATGTTTAGAAACATAAGATAAAGATTTAAGAGAGGTTTGTTGACTATTCTTGACAGGTTAGATGGGAGAAATCAGTCAAAATGTTAGTGGAAAAATCATTCTCTGCAATTGATCAATTTTAAGAAATTGTTTTAATACAATAGTTTAGTATGTATTACAGTTTAAAAAATATCTGCTACTGTTTAAAGCTCAAAACAGGGACATTGCTAGACCCTGGTACCAAGGACATGTGTCCTGGGTCTTCTACTGAAGTGAGAATGGTCCTCAAAACAAACATCAATCTCTATTGAACTCTGGTTCATGCATTTATTTATTTTTAGTCAATGATTATATTGTCATATCTTTGAAATTATAAGTAGGACTGTTTTAGACATATTCATTTTTTTATTAAAAAGATGATATTGTATATAAATCTGATTTAAGGAAGATTTATATTATCAATGAAAGGCATTTCTCTTCATTGTGATGGAAGAAGTG